ATTCCCTACGGGGGGCCATAAAAAACCCAAATATACAATTAAATGCTTTCAAGATAAAAGCCAGCACCCTGAACTGAGCACAGAAATGGATCTAAAATGAATGCAGTGATCTTAGTAGACCCAATCTCATTTCAGACAGCAATCAAGCTACTGCATTTTAGTGTTAGAGGAACACTACAATGCAACTTTGAACAGTCAGCAAAACTAGAAAGCATGTGAATCTAGTAAAGAAAGGAAAGCATATTTTAGAGGCAATAAAAGCCAACATTACAGTTAAATTTGAGGATGGAGGGGGAGTTTACTAATACTAACAAGCAGTACTGTACAAATAATATTTTCTCATAGTTTGAGATGGCAGACAAATAATACCTGCTTTTACTATCCATTAAGGTATGGACATGTTGCTTATGGCATACATATGAACCTGTCATACTTTCATTTCAGTGGAGTTGATGTTGCCTGTCCTTTACAGAACCACCAAGTTTTGAGCACATTAGACTAAGAAAACTACAGGTCCCTGAACAAGCTGTCCTCAGCCCCTCTCAAAACAGTGAGCGAGGGAGAACACCGGCTCTGTAGCACATCTTCAAGGGTGGTTGGCTAAAGTACTCTGTACTCTGTACTTCACCCTGAGAAGACCTGATTGGAAGGGAGAAATATCATTGGTCCCGGTTACACGGGCCGGAAAACGTGCACCGGGGGGGGGGAGGCATGGCTATTTGCGGCCCTCAGTGTGTGCGCAGCAACGAAGATGCCCAGAGGGAAAAGCTGTGCCGGCGTGATCACACCAAGGGAGTCCGGATGCAGCCCGTGGCAAACTGTTTGTTACTACCTTCGAGGAGGTATTTTTTTATCGCGCATTTTCGGCGGCATGCCACAGGTTGGCCACGGGTGCGCTCCACTTGCCAGATGTTGTGGTGTGATCACGCCTGGAAGATCCGCCATCGAATCGTGGCTCTCCCGCGGCAAATTCACCATGTGAACGGGGCCAATGTCTACAAAATCAGTGGAATGATAAAAAAGATGAGGCATGTTGCTTTCCTGGTACATATGCACTTGAGACTCCAAGTGAAGGGCGGGATATAAATCCAATCTCTTCTTCTTCTTTAAACATTGATTTCAGTAGGGCTAAACTACAGAACATCTGTACAGTATTGCACTATCAATCTCTCTTGCTTCTCAACTACAGCATTCACACAATTCACACAATTCAGGAAATCCAACAGCATTATTCTAGCAGTGAATTCTGGATATTGACACAAGTAGTCATCTCAGAGTGTGTGCCTTTGACATAAACCACTTTGGGACAACTGGAATCTGGAGTGAACTTTGTTCTTTTAAAGTGCTACTTCAAAACCCACAAGGAAATCACTTGAATGGTTGCAAAGTAGCGGTTAGATCTCAGAGGGAAGCACTGATAAGGCTGATACAGTAACAACTGGTTTATGACTATGACAACAAATCCACTCTAAGTTAACAAGCACTTTCTCAACTGTAGTAGTGTACTAATACCTTAGTACACTGAGAACAGAGAATGATTAAAATGTGGAATTCACTGCCAGAGGACATAGTGATGGCCACAGGAATAAGACCTATCAGTGGCTACTAGCCATGGTGACTGAGGGGAACCTCCCCATGCAGAGGCATTAAACCTCTGAATCCCAGAGCCAGGAGGCAACATCAGTGGAAGGTCTCAGTCTTTATGCCCTATTATTGGTCCTCCAGAGAAACGGTTGTCCACTGTGTGAGTCAGGATGCTGGACTAAATGGACCATTGGTCTGATCCAGCAGGGCTCTTCTTAAGTTCTTATCCATAGTGGTGTATCCCAAGACGGGGGAGGGGAGACTATGTAAAATGTTAAATAGTGAAGCTTCCAAGAATTTACTGCACCAAGAAGATGCCAATGTGTGTGCGTCACTTAGAATACAAATGTATGTTTTAAGCCATAAAAGGATTAGTATGCTATTGATTAATTCTGTAAACAGCTTCAATTTATCCACGTCCCCCAAATGTTTGTGTAATGACTAATCTTGTACACATGGTGACTGTAAACCCTTTTGAAATATTAGGGACATATGTCAAGCCTTCATTCAATTGCCAGTGAAATCAGAAAGTCTCCTCAAAGGGCAGAATAAAACAGGAGTACAATGACATCTTAAAGACTAACAAAATTCCAGCATAAGCTTTTATGAGTCAGAGTTTACTTCATCAGATACACAGGGCAAAGGGCAGACTGCTAAAAGATAATTCATTCAACTTTGTTCAAGATTAATCAGAAAAAGAGGGCAAACTGATGCATTTATAATGTTATGGAACTACTTCACAGATTACGTTTGTATGACACTAGGGTCCTTTTGCCAATTCTGTCTGTAAAATCCTTATAGAATATGATATGGATTGGTTAAATGTGTGTCTACAGGTATAGCTAGTACCTGTGCTAAACAAGTGCTACCTTCAACTAGTCTGACAGGGAGTGTAACTATGGGAGAGGTCAGCTTCTTTCATCACCTAGGCTAATGTTCTCTAAGATTTATACATTTAATTCTTCTCTACTTGAACCTGAGTAACTGCCACCTCCTTGGGGGGGGGGAGAAAGAATGGAGGGGGGGGCTTCCTCCAATGAAAGTACACTTGTAAGTTGGTCTGGCAACATAAACACATTTTAGAGTAGATAAATTTGGTTTGCAACTTGTTTCACGGATTATGTTACAAATTATTAATTAGGCTTTCCTGTTTGTTAGGAAGTTGCTCTAAAGCCAGGCATAGTGCGGCAGAACAAAAATGTATACCATTGGTATCATATCACCTCATCTTCTCTAAAGTCTTAGAAAGTTCTCTAAACTTTCGAATAATTTGGTGCAGTATTAAAAAGCAGACTTTCAGACAACTGCTGTAATACACTGTTAACAAAGCGATTAAAAATCTATAACTGCACTGGCCATCAACTGTGAACACATTAGAAATTACAAAACTTTTATAAAGAAGAGTTCACAGAGATATGAAAAGTGTTCTGACAATATTTGCTGACTTTTAGGCCACCTACATCTAAATCAAAGGCAACGAAAGCAGCAAATTATTATCAATAATACCTAAAGGTGTTTTGTATAAGAGAAATATCTTTGGTCACCAAGAAACAAATCCCTCTAAAACTTCCTTCACATTGAGTCAGGAATACAGCCAAACAAGCAGCTAGGTAGTGTTTAAACTTGAAGATTTTGGACTGACATGATGACTATATAAATCATTTTTAAGGCAGCCACAATCTTCTAGCATTTTACATGTTTTCTGCTTTAGATAAAGATCACACATTTCATAGATCTTCAAAGTGTTTTTCTCTGAAAGAAATTTTTACTCAAAGGTCAACTTCTAATATCAAAACATAGATATATCAAAGAGTTTAATGTTGTTTTTAGGCCAATCCTTTAGGCTGTGTATATGATTACCTCTGAAATTTCTCCAGACATAAAGTCCTAAAGACCAGGTTGCCAAGACAATATTTGTTGCCAAATGGACCTTCTTCTGACCAGCATTTATGCACTGGCAAACTCATGGCCATACTGCTGAGATACACTTAAGTAAGGCTGCTAAAGATCTTTACCTAGAGCAGAGTAAGTCAGCATCAACTGCAGACAGATTCCCAAAGACTTCCAAATTTTCTCCTCTAAAATGTCCATCTGGCTAGTTTAAAGCAGCCCATAAGGTAACCTGGCTGGTTAATTATGATCACAGATATCACGGAGATATTTTCTTTTTACAAGGTGATAAGCTAGGCATGAACTACTAAACAGGGCTGGAATTTATGCTACCATGAACGGAGCTCCAAAACCACCTCAAAAAGTCACTCACACAAGTTGGGAGACATTATGGAACAACAGTAGCCTGGTGGGGTGGGGGGCGCATCCCAAATAGGTAACCTCAAAAGAAATCCCCCCCCCCATGTGCACTCTTCCATAACTTGAATAAAGGAAATATTTCTAGCATTGCCCCTTCTGGCACTAGCCCATTTATGCCCACATGGGCACCCAACTCTCTCAAACAGTTTTTTGGAGGGGGGGGCTAAATTGGGGAGCAGAAGACAGGAAAAGTCAATTCCATGAATTCATTCCATTTGCAGCAGCTTAGGATCCAACCTAGTGTTTACTCCTGTCATGATCTGGGCTGTGCAAGTAAAGGCCTAGCAGGCCCAGGGAGCCTGAATAGCAGTGGGAGGAGGCCAGGCCTACAACTCCCAGAAGCCCCTGAGAGGTTTTGGCACCAATTTTAGCCAATCACAGAGAAAGGGGACTTATAATAAAAGAGCTGGTACAGAAGAAGAGCTGTTCTTCTTCCGAGAGAGCAGGGCCAGAGGGAAGGCTGCTGCTGGGAGAGACCCTCACCCTGAGAGGAAGGGTGAGCAGACTGAGGCCGAACTGAGACAGTGAACTAGGGACTGTGAGTCTAGTTGCGTTAGGGCATTTGGTTTCTTTTCTCTTCACCCACTTATCATTATTGTTCTTGCACCTTGTTTGTTTCCCATATTGGACTGACCTCCTGTAAAAATAAACCTTTCATTTGTTGTTTACTCTGCCTGATCCTCTGAAGGCCTTGGGAGGGTGCTCTGGGCCTTCTCGAGGGAATCCTAAAACCAGAGTGGTGGCAGCATCAGGTGACACCCCACCTAAGTTGTGACAACTCCTCATGCAATTCTGCCCATTTTATATTATATATACAAATAAAGATAAGGAATGAGACCTGTTAACAATTCTATGTTGGATGCCCCATACCTATGCTTCATGCGCTATAAGCTTTGCTGTTGTGGTATGTAAGAAGGGGACACATTTGTAAAGAGTATAGACAAAACCTTTCAAGACCTATTAAAACAAATACATTTTAATTGGACATGCCACGTTGGGGAAATTGCTACAACTCCAGTCGTTTCCAGAAGGCAAACATATTTGTACACAAATAAAAATCAGAAATCAGACAGATGCAGGCACAGACAATTTACAAAAGAACTTACAAAGATTGTAGCCCACTTAGTCCCCTGATTGCCTCATTAGGAACGGTTTTCAGCTGGTTGTTCTGCAGAGTGCTGTAAAACAACATCAGCAGTGTAAACATATTTGGAAATACCTCTCAACCATGCACACTACTACACACACCCCATTTCCTCCTGCATTTTGCAATTCTAAACAAAATGATTCCAATTCATTGCTATCTGACCCTCATAACTACTTAGGAGGGGGAATTCATATCCTCCTTGAACTTTCCATTTATTTTATTTATTTAAAACATTTTCTGCTGCCTTTCTACCCAATCAGCCTCCTCAAAGCAGTGAACATAAAAACATTAATGCATTTAAACAATTTAAATACAGTTAAATACAAAATTCAATTTAAAACACAAACAAACAACAGTAGAAGGAGGGTCTAAAACTATTGTTACAGGTATGCTAGACAAAATAAAAAGGTCTTCACATGCTGTCAAAGTTCACTGATAGAGGGAGACAGGAAAATTTCCCTGGGGAGGGAGTTCCTGTTTTGGTACCATGATGGGAAAACCCTTTCTCAGGTCACTGCCTGTCTAACCTCAGATTGCAGGGGCAACTGAAGCAGGGCCTCCGAGGATGACTGGAGTGAGTCGGGAGGTTCGTATGGGAGAAGGAAGTCCTTAAGGAATGCTGGTCCCAGGCCATATAGGGCTTTAAGGGTCTATACCAGCTCCTTGAATTGCACCTAGAAATAAACCGGAAACCAGTGTAGGTGGAACAGGACTGGAGTGCTATGGTCCCTATTACCCAATCCAGTCAACACTCTGGCCACAGCATTCTGTACCAATTGTAGCATCCTGTGGGTTCAAGGGCAGACCCACGTAAAGTACATTGCAGTAATCTGATCTAGATGTTACCAGAGCATGCATCATTGCAGCAAGATCTTTTCTGTCCAGGAAGGGCCACAGCTGGCTCACCAGCCATAGCGGCTGAAAGGCATCCCTGGCTACCACTGCCATCTGTTTATACAACAGAAGGCCCAGATACAGCAGCATCCTCAAGCTACAAACCTATTCCTTTAAGGACATGCAACTGCATCCGAACAGGGGATGACCCATTTCCTGAGTCAGACCTTCCCCCCACCAGTAGCACCCCTGTTTTGTTGGCATTAAGTTTCAGCTTGTTAGAGCTCATCCATTCCAAACTTGCTTCCAGGTTCCTGTTCACAGTTTCCACAGTCCCTGGGATCTGCTGGTAGCGCAAGGTAGAGTCATTTGGATATTGCTGGCAGCTCAGCCCAGATCTCCAGATGACCTCTCCCAGCAACTTTACATAGACGTTACTCTCTCTACTTACCCCATACCAAGAATCTAAAACAAAAGGTTTGTGGGTGTTTTAAAATGGAAAGAGGTGTACCCTGATGTCTAGATATTAGTACACTGATCCAAAAGATCTAATGTGCAATTCAGAATTTTCAGGCATATATAGAAAACCCTTTTGCTTAATAGATGGTGGCCACCAGAGACAAAACCATGTTGAGCCCACTCTGTACAGCAAGCTCTTTATGAATAGTTAACTGCTGCCAAAAGAGTCTGGTCAGTTTTAGTTTGTCATCAGAAATGATGGTGGGGCCTGATTTTGGAGATGCATAGTCCGAGTGGTCCCTGTTGACAGAGCTATAGGGGCTTGGCTCTGTTTAATCCTGGTGGCCCGCAGCCCACCACAAACATTCCCTGTAAGTTAAATGGCCCATCAGCCCCTGGGCATGGTGGGAAAAAACCCAAAAGAATCACACGGGCCACTATGCATTAACTGCTTGCACACTGAGCAGCTTCCATTATCTTCCTATTCAAATTGGATCAAACACCTGAATTTCAATTAAATGTAGCAATAAGCATATGAACACAACTGAAGTTATACTCTACCTTCCCTAAAAGATTAATCTTCCATTAAAATTGTTTTAAAATAGTAATTAATAAAGTTTTTCATGTTACTAAGGGCAGTCCAGAAATTCAGAAACCCCACTATTCTAAACCTGAGTGAATATGCTGAGCCGGCAAGAAAGGAAAGCACTATCCAGTGAAGCTCTGGAATCTGATTACTTACAGAACTTTGAGTTCCTTCAACCCAGACAAGGCCTTCGGATGAATAAACGCAAGGTCATTGCCAGCCAGCCGTCTGGAAAAGATTGTAACAACAACAATAATAATGGACTGCAAAAATAAAGCACATTTCCAATTGTCTAATAAATTAAATCATCACTGCATCAGAATGTTGAAGCAACTGACACACTCCAAATGAGAGATTATACGGCATTTATGCTTCACATGTATTAGTACTCACTCAAGCTGCATGAATTTAAGAAGCCATAATAAACTGAGTTATCACAGTCTGCATTTGCAAGCAATGTTTAAACCACAAACATCAAACCTTATTCACATTATGAGTTGTAACTGCTGTAATTGACATTACACATGCAATCTGCAACTCATGAGGTCCACAACTTTTTTTGAGAAATGATGGGCTGCAGCATAAAGTTCTCTGACTTCACATCTACTCTTGCATGTAGGTAGAACACATTGTACTTAAAAAGGGGCCACCTATCTAAAAACATCACCATGTCCCCAACAGATGCTTCTCTTTGCCATTCCAAATACTTTTAACTTCTGGGAGATTTCTTATCTTTTCTTGCCATGTAATTCCAGTGCCTCATCCTTTTTCAATATATTTGGAAAACTGTTCTTGCTATAGGTGGCAGTCTTCCTATATATTTGAATATTATGCATATGACCTCAATTCTCGTTACAATCAGAACCACAACTGCGTAAGAGCCGTTGATTTCAATAAGACTGTATGTGCCTAAATTTGAACTGCAGGCACATTGACTGCTGACGATAGGAAAGTGTTTTCCAAACAAGAAAGGCAAACTGTCCCTGCACACCCTGCTAACTGAACAGAAACCGCTTTGAAATGGGGTTACCATTCATCTTTTCCGTGTACTCTGGTCAAACACTTATTTACTGTAAGTCATTGTTATATGGTTCAACTCCAGTCAACTGCTAATGCTTTTGACACTTGATGTTTTTTATTAAAGCAAGAGATAAGGAAATGGCGAACACCTGGTAATCTGTGGCTGCCAACAAGAAGAGATCATTTTCAGCCATATTAGTTGCTTCCTTGTTTGCTTTATTCCTTGGTTAGGATGCAAAAATGGATTACAAAATGCATCAGAAAATGATACAGTGGGAATGTTTATACAGACTAAGTATTCTACTTTAAAATTGAAAAAAGTAACTGCTCCAGAGGCATATGTTACTGCTTTACAGGCATATGACGTAATACTGTAAAATGACGCAGAAACCCAGACTTCCAAATACAACCCTAATGTTAGTTACCCTAAACCGCACAAGAGTTCACAGTGTTAACCTAGAGCTAATTTTATTTAAGGATGATCAACAACGTGACATATTTACATATTCTTCCCACAAATCAGTGCAAGATACCTTCATCTTGGGTAGTCTTAGAGACTCATTGCCTCCTTCAGCCTCCTGTTCTCAGGCAAACCAACCACAGCTCAGCACCTCATGTGCTCTCCTTTTCATTATCTACATATCATAAGACATGCGAAGAACGATCCACATCACTATTCTCCCATGCCACTTGAAATTGGGGTTAAATGAAGGAGATTGATCCCAAGGGAGCCCCCCTCACTGAATTCCTCAAGCCTGCCAGCTCCAAGAAATTGCCTTGGGAAACCTCCCTGTCACATAGGAGGACTAAGGGTGCTTGTCAATTTACTCTACAGTTTAAACAAAACTGTACTGTACCTGCTAAAAGCCCCACCTTGAGCCTAAAGCCAGCTATATATCCAGTCTGAACTATTCAGCCGCATGCCCACCTTATAAGCAGTATAAAAAGGCCAATTCTCTACTGAATTCCAAAAATGTCTTGGCTTCAAAGCAGCCACCTAATCTCACACAGTCTTTCTTGAAAGGTGGGAGGCCAGACAGCCATTGTGGTAGGAGGAAGAAGATGGCACTACTTAAATATACCATGTCCCTGGCCCTTCTCCCATTGGCTGCCTGCCACGTGGCTCCCTCATTCCTGCCTTCATTTTGATAAAGGGAAGAAGCAAAAAAAGTGCTCATGTGAAAACCACCATTGTATTCATGACTTCTTTAACATTTCCTAGGCACTTGTCAACAATATAAATCTTTTCACCTTAGCATGATACCATACTATAGGGTTACCATACTTCGAAAAGCAAAAAAAGAGGACACATTTCCTGACTACTTCAAACAAGGGATCACTACAACAAATCTCATTAACATCCCTACTATTTAAGCTGTGATAATTGCTACTAACTAGGAATTTTTCTAACCTTCCAACCCAAAAAGAGGACATTTTCATCAGTGTTTTTTTTTTAAAAAAAAAAGAGCCCAAAAGAATGGAGAAACATCCATGAAGATAATTTGGCACACAAGCAAAGCTTTTTTTAGAGGACTGACAATTAGATTTGCAACAAGAAAGAAAAGAGAAAGAATGAGGACATTTCAAGTTATATTGAACGCTATTCAGAATAAAAAGAATTAAAGTTGGATCCTTCGAATGAGAAATTAAAGATGAAAATCAAAATATTGCATCAACTCAACCTACTTTTATCAGAAGAAATGACAAAAAATATTAAATTTGCTAAACAGGATTATATTGAAAATGCCAATAAACCAGGAAGATGGTTGGCTTATAAATTAAGAAAAGAGAAAGAGAAAAGGATGATCCACTCATTGTATGATAAAGAGAGAAAAGAAGAATTTTCTAAGAATGGATAAAAGGAAATAATTCAGGATTTTTACATACAATTATATAAAAGAGTAGAAATCTCCAAAGAAACTCAGAAACAGTATTTAGATGAACAGGACTTACCACAATTCTGGAAGAAAACAGAAAAATGCTGAACAATCCCATAACAATGATGGAAATTACAGAGGCTATTAAGAAACAAAATATAAATTAAGCACCTGGACCAGATGGATTACCATCTGAATACTATTAAAATTTGAAGATGTATTATTGATACCATATAAAAACATAATTTCTTCTGTAATAGAAAAAAAAATACCAGAATCTTGGACTGAAGCAACTATATCATTGATTCATAAAGACGACACAGGTCCTAAAGAGATAAAAAAAACCTATAGACCTATTTCCTTGATGAATTGTGATTACAAAATATTTGCAACTATATTGGCTGCAAGGTAGAAAAAAGTTCTAATAGACTTTATACATCAGGACCAAGCAGGTTTTCTACCTAAAAGGCAGCTAAAATATTGTGAGAACAGTTTTAAATATATTAGAAAACTATGACGCGCATCCAGAGAAACAAATGGCTTTGATATTTTTGGACGCTGAAAAAGCATTTGACAATATCAACTGGCGATTTTATTTATTCAACAGATGAAAATAATGAAGTTTGGGACTAATTTCATAAAGGCTATTGAAGTTATATATACAAAGCAGAAAGCGAAAGTAGTACTAAATAATGAATTGACAGGTAATATATGGATTGAAAAAGGGACAAGACAAGGCTGTCCAATATCTCCATTGTTGTTTAAACTAATTGGGAAGTGCTGGCAAGAACTATTAGGGAAGATTCCTGCATTAAAGGAATGTCAATAAGAGGAAATAAATATAAATTACAAACCGTTGCTGATGACTTGGTATTTATCTTAGAAGACCCAATGGAATCGATACGACAACTGATGAATCGGATTAATAAATATGGGGAAATAGCGGGAATGAAAATAAACTATGAGAAGACGAAAATGATTACGAAAAATATAACATTGAAACAGAGATGTGAATTAGCAGAGTTAACTGGATTCCAACTGGAAAAGAAATATCTGGGTATTAATATTACAGCAAAATGTAGCTCTCTGATGAATGATAACTATAATAAAGTGCTACAAGAGATTTTAAAAGATCTAGAGAAATGGACAAGGCTGCAAGTATCACTAATGGGTAGAATAGCAATTTTGAAAATGAATATTTTACCACGTTTGATGTTTTTATTCCAGACCTTGTCGATAAATCTTTGATGAATTGAATAAACCAACACAACACTTTATATGGCAAGAGAAAAAGCCAAGAATTAAATTGAAAGCCTTAAAGGATGTGAAAGATAATGCTGGATCTTGAGTGGAAGAATTGTTATAGGGCAGGAAGTTTGGTTTGGTTGCGAGAATGGGTTTTACTTGAAGATCATAGTTTGCAGAAACATCTGTTTAGTATCTGTGTGACCCCTGTGTGAGGGCCACACGTGGCTAATAGTTTATAGATTTGGGAGACATGGGGTTAAATCTTCATTCTGTCATGAAGTCTACTGGCTAGTCTTTGGCTAAACTCTCTCTCTCTCTCATCCAAACTACATGTTATGGTGGTCATGGGTCCAACCCATGGTTTCTGTGATAGACAGGCTAGGTTCTGCCTCTCTCCAACAGCAACCAATGAGAAAGGGAGGCTTGGAAAAGAGCCACTGAAAATGTCAGTTAGGAGTTAGCAGTAGGGAGGGGAATGGACTAAAAATGGAGGTTTGAACCAGACTTTTCCATTTTACAAACCAGTTCCTAGCCCATGAGGTCCATGGTGGGGGAGGGCTTGCAAAAGCCATTTAAAGGGAACACTTCCCTTTAAATGGCTTTTGCAAGTCCCGCCACCCCAGCGGCAACATGATGTGGAAGTCAACTCAGAAGACATTTAAATGCTTTTTTAGATCCCCCACATTATGCTGTGGCAGCAGCACGATGCGGAAGTGGATTCAGAAGGTATTTAAATGCCTTCTGAGTCCACTTCCACAGACTGCCCCCATGGACCAAACGAACCCCTGAAAACCACTTGGCAGTCATGGGCGGTCCATAGAAAGCGGAAGGGCACAGACCAGGCAAATGAACCATGAACGAGGCCCTGAACCATGGAAAAATTAGGTCCATGGTCTGGTCCATGCCCATCCCTTGTTAGCAGCATAGGAGTTGGCAACTTAGGATGGGGGTGGGGAGAGAAGTAGGATTTCTGAGTGGAACTGTACAGAAGAGCTGCTTAAAGCAGGCTGAAAATAGTAAATTTGTAACTAAAGGATCCCAGTTATAGAAATAGGATCTCAGTTCAAAAGTTCAGTGGAAATG